TGGCCGGTTAGACAATCCATCAGTTCTTCTTGGTTTGAATGGTTTGAGTGGTTTTAAGCAGTTTAACCCTTTAAATGGTTTTAAGAAATCAACCGACCGATTTGGTCCAATTTTTAAAACAATGATTTTAGTAGATATATGCTAGCTCCTAAATTTAAAAAAAAAAAAAAAAACGGCAAATAAACCTTTAAACTATTCAACTAAAATAAATTGCCCTTCCATTAATGACTATGGGTAGTTTCTATTAATTTCAGTTGATATGGCTGATAAAAGAAATTATTATCATTAATGCACATTTATCTAAAAATTAAAATAAATAAATAATTTCAATTTAGTTGTTAATTTTATTTAATTGTATTTAATTGTCACATCAAACTTTTTTTAATTGTCATGTTGATTTGTTAAAAGGTTATGGGTGCATTTATTGTATATTATTACCATTGATTTATATAAGAAATAAAAATTAACTTTAATTTTATTAATCATTCAATTAAAATATTTTACATGGTATCGGTATCGAAAATAAAATTTATTTTTTAAATTTTTTATACAAATTAATGATAAAAACATATAATAAATATATCATTAACCTTTATATTAAATACATGTTAAAAAAAACCCTTGTTTCATACTCAATATGTTTCAAAATAATTGTCAATTTTTTATTTTTAATTTATTTCAAATTAATTATCTGTAATTGCACCATACCAGAAGTTCCTCTTCAGTCCGCGTCTGCACTCTGGATTGACCTGCAAAACCCCGAGATGGAATTCGGGATAGACATTCCGATGCTTAAGTCAGCAATAATCGGGACTACCTTTAAAGCGAAGATAAAAAGAACTTAAGGTTGGTTTCAATTACTTTTTGACGTAACCCGTGGGGGTATTTATAGGATCCAATGAAGAACCCACGTGGCATGCCAAGTAAGATATTCGGGATCTGATGTGTATCTCCAGACGGTTATTTTGGGACCGGGAAATTGAGAGATATTCAGATGCGAGGATGTCTATCATAACTGCTGTGCAGCTCATCATAACGAATCAGGTACGGGCATGCTCATTGTCGCTGTCATGTAGCTATTTGAGCGGGAAGCTTTGGACTTATCCTTCATTTCGGTCATAAAAAAATTACTATAGCAGTCCGAGGTTTGGTACCTCGGACTTATCCTTACATTATCCTTTTCAATTTTTAAAGTAAATAAATATATATTTTTATTTTAACTCTATTATTATTATCTATCAATTTTAATTAATTATCTTATCATAAAAAAAAATTTTACTTTCTTTTTTTAGCTTTTTTTAAAGATAATATCAATAAATATATAAATTATTTTCAAATTATTAATTTTTAAAAAATAAAGATAATTATTTTGAGGTAGAGAAAATAATAGATAAATAAATAAAGGGTAATGTTGCATACAATATAATTTTGTACAACATTATGTTATAAAATGTGAAAGCTGTGACAGGACTTTCACTGACAAAGTTACAATTCAAGTTTTTTATTTCTAAATTTAAAATTTTTAAAATAACCTAATCAACTTTGATACCTTGAGTCTTGAGAGAAGCAACACAGAGCACCTGTATGGGATTTACTATTTAGATGTCCAAAATTCCAAAGCATAGCTTGGTTAAAATGCCCTTCACAAAGTCTATAAGCATTGTGCCTTCCCTTATAAGCTTCTCGTCAACACCATTCCTCACAATTTGTGGAAAGAACAACCAAAAGCCGGTGACCGCCACAAACACTATCGTTGCTGGCCCGGAAACCACTGGACTGAGATGCCACCTCTCCCTCACAGTCTTCTTCACCGCCACCTCAATAGCCAAACAAAATCCTTGTAAGACAAAGAACCAAGTCACCTCCCATGTGGGATGCGCACGTCCCATGTAATAGTAAATTGCCTCGTGCATCAGACCCGACACGGCAAATGTTGCGACAACAGCTGGTAGAGCAGCCCACCTCGGTCCAACTATACCAGTAGAAATACGGCGTATTGGGTCATATACAGTAGGGTGTAGAATGCGAGTGACCATGAGATTCCACCTGCGACCCCAAAAGTCTTGAAGGGAGGTGGTTAAGTAAGGCTCATTGAATTGTGGCTCGAGCTCAAACCCTAAGAAGGCTCTGGCCGGGGTCGCACACAGGGCTAACACAAGTTCTAGTTGAAGATAAAGATTGGCGCAATAAATAGTTAAGAGTATATTTTTAGGTAAAATTTTTTTATAGTTATACAGATGGTAAATAAGAACTAAAACCACTATTTTTACACTACAGAGAATTGGCTCAGGTACTCTAATTCTTGTTGCAAGTGCTTGAGGGGATTTTGAAGGTGGGTCTTCCTTGATTTTTATTGGAAGGCAAGCAATGGAAATAAAATGGAAAAGTTTGCTTGGGGGTGGGGATAAAGGGCCTTGATCAAAGGAGAAGAGGAGGAGCTTGAAATTGCCGAGCCATACGAGAAAGAAGGCGGTGGTGCCGCATAGAGTGGTGGAGGAGAAGCTGAAGGGGAGGAGGATGAAGAGGTAGACAACAGGGAGGATGGAGAGGAGCCTCACTAGACCCCTAGGGATTTTTGCAGATATGTAGTAGCAATAGCAGAGAGATGAGATGGCCAGAATCCATACCTTAACCAAATTCTTGATCTCCTCATCCATCTCTCCTATTGCAATTTTTCTCTCCCTCTTTCAGATATAAATGATGCAAGTTTGACAACCTTTTTTTTATGCAAGTTTGGCAAGCTGGGACCAAAATGCAGGACAGAATAATAAAAATGCTGCTAATAATTAATTGTCACATGGTGTACAAAAACTTTTGACACACATATATATTAATGTTATGATCTCTTTTTTTGAAAAAAAAAAAATTAGAAAAAGAATATAGGTTTGAACCTTAAATTTTGTAAATCATTTCATTAATTATATAAAAAACGTGTAGCCATTATGGTAAAAGGAGTCTTCTAGTGATTTTATAGTCAAAATTGGAGTAATATATATGTATGATGCTAGCTAGTTTGGCAGCAACCTTTGACCAAACTAATATGCATAATATGAATAATTAACATGCCCAAATGGTGTACTCTTTTTCTAAGCAATATTAGATGGTATTCATTGACTTTCTTTTATCAATTAAATGAAAAATTGTCTGTTTAGGAATGTGAATTTACTATAATGTTTTTGTATTTGGAGTATCCAAATTCAAATTCACTATTTGTTAATGTAAATTTCCTATATAATTAAAATTGACACAAATGCATGTATTTTATTTATGTATTTTAAAGATTAAAATGTGTGTATTTCAAAAACATTCTTTACCCTTATGAATTTCATATCTAAATTCTGGTATTTGTTTTAAGATGCATTTCTTGTACTTTCGATCAAAATCTCTTCTCCCTCTTTCTCTTATATATGTTTTATTTGATCGAAATCAAGCCAAAAAGAAAATTGGCAAGTGGTGGGGGCAAAGGGGTGGATTCTTCCAAGCGGAAGCTAGATAAGGGATGTGCCCATTTCAGCAAAAACAATTTCATAACAATCACACTGGTGTCGGATAAGGTAGCTTTAAGGGCTGAGTTGAGGTTGGAAAATATAGTTTACACATCAGGGCTTTCGAAAGGTTGAGACGGAGTCGAAACAGAGCCAGATTGTGAAATTGTAGCAAGGGATGGTTGTGGGGGGCTAGTAGGTCTTGGGTGCTAGTTGGGTAGAAGGGTTACGGTTGGAATAAGGAGGGAATGAATTCTTTTTTATTGTAGCTTTAGATGGTTTACCAATTATTTGTAAAAATGCCTTAATAAAGTAAATTACTTTAAATTTAATTACAAGTTAATGATATATTAAGGTATTTAAATAATGTATTTTAAATTATGTTTATTTTAAATTTCATGTTTTTTAAAATACACATTATAAATTCAAATATATGTTCTGAACACAACTTAAATGAAATACAAGGGTTGTCACAACCCACATTGAAAATTCACTTTAAGTACCAATCTTGGCTAGGTGCCTCTGTATATTGCTGCAAAGCCAATGCCCCTCACAAAGTCTAAAAACATTGAGAATTCCCTTTTGAGCTTCTCGTCAATACCATTCCGCAAAATTTGTGGAAAGAAAAGCCAATGCCCGGTCGCTGCCATGAACACTGCCGTTAATGGCCTTGAAATCACCGGATTCAGCTGCCACCTCTCCCTTACTACCTTCTTCACTGCCACCTCCATAGTCACACAAATTCCATGTATGATGAAGAACCATGTGACCTCCCATGTGGGACGCACTCTTGTAAGATGATAGTAGATTAACTCGTGCATTAGACCCGAGACAACAAATGCGGCAATGACAGCCGGCAAAGCAGCCCACCTCGGTCCAACTCTACCGGTAGAAATACGGCGTATAGGGTCATATATGGTGGGGCGTAGAATACCGCTGACCACGAGATTCCACCTACGGCCCCAGAAGTCCTGGAGTGATGTGGCTAAGTAAGGGTCATTGAACTGTGGCTCAAGCTCAACCCTTAGGAAGGCTCTAACTGGAGCGGCAGAGGTGTCTAAGAGAAGTTCAACTAGAAGATAAATTTGCAAGCAGTAAATGGGTACAAGCACAGTTTTGGGTAAATGTTGTCTATAGTTATACACATGATAAACAAGAGCTAGAAGCAATAGCTTTACACCCCATTGAATTGGCCTAGGAACACTTGGAGGGTTTGGATGTGGAGTTGTTTTTTGGAATGTTTTTGAAGGTGGGTTTTGTTTGACTTGGATGGGAAGACAAGCAGTGATAATGAAATGGGAAAGTTTGTGTGGGGGTAGGGATAGAGGGCCTTGATCAAGAGAGAAGAGGAGGAGCTTGAAATTGCCAAGCCATAGGAGGAAGGTGGCGGTCAACCCACCGAGACTGGCGGAATAGAGGCTGAAGGGGAGAAGGGTGAAGATGTAGAAAACAGGGATGAGGGAAAGAAACCTTGGGAGACCCCTAGAGATCTTTGCTGATATGTAGTAACAGTAGCAGAGAGATGCCAAGGCCAGAATCCATACCTTGATGAAATTCCTTATCTCTTCCTCCATTTCTCTCTCACTGCAACTTTTCTCTTCCCTTCTCAGATTTGGAATGGTGGAAATTTGAGAAACTTGGCCAAGACACCCAATACGTTGACTCAGATTTTAATATTTTCAATATACTAAAAAATCCAAGATGCCAAATGTGATCTAAACCTTACTTAAACGTAGACACAAGAGAGTTGCACACGCCGGGCAAGTGGTTTTCACTTGTATTTTAGTAAAAATGTCATTTTAATTTAAAATGTTTAATTTTTTGAGATCATTTTTCCTCATCTTCTATAGTATAATACAAATATTTGTAGTCCCGCACTCGGTGGACATATGAACACCCCCTTGCAAGGGACGTGCGTAGGACTACCAGAACTTGGGATCAAATACCAAGTCCCCCATTCCCCAAGAAAAAAAAGGTTTCATACTGTTCAAAAAAAAATACAAATATTTGTAAAAAATCACCTTTATTTAAAAAAAGATATTTTAATATCCTCATATTTCTCTTGAGCTTTGTATTATGAACATTGTGCACGGAAAGAATACATAAATTGAATATCCCCATGCTAGCTAGCCTATTATGTTGTCCAAAGAATTGAATAATGCAACCAGGAAAACAAAATATGTTCATAATGTAACAGAATCACAAAATTTCTTCATTCTTTTCTGGGTGTTTTATGGAAGATTTTTCCTTCATCTTCTTCTTTTTTGTAGCCTTTTTACATCCGAAATTGAGATCTGTGAGGTTCAGTCAAATGTGTTCTTTTCTTTCCATATCCAGAGGAATGGACGCCTTTCTCTCTTCTTAACTGATTTGATCCCGCAGGCAGATGTCATTGTTCAATGAGAGAGTTTTAGTCTTCGAATTGTGAGGAAACTGTAGTGTCCGAAGCAGCGTCATCGATGGTTAAGTGTGAGAATTCACCACCCAGAGAGGAGGTATCATCTTCACCACAAATGGATGGTGCTGGAGATGCATCAGGTGTACTAAGAGGGAATGGCGATGACTCACCCTCTTCAAGGGCCTGTTGTATGCTCCAGTACATTATGCTGGCAGTCAGAGATAGGATCATCTTTGGGTTTACCTGACATGCCAGATAAGAAATCACTCATTTCTCCGCATTTAGTTACTGACTACATACCAGCAATATCTAAAATGTATCCAATGCTTACCTCCATGATGTCTTCAGGCAACGAGAAAATCGAACAACCAAGCTTCCTTGCCACGCTAATGATATATGTTGCATTCAACCTCTTCTCATCATCTGTTATATCAACAGAAAAAGGGAAGAAGAAGTAAGATCATGTTATTATCCTTAAAACGTCAAAAACTCTGACAAAGCAAACTAGTCCTTGTAAAATCTTAAAGAAAAAATAATGTCATTTCAGTTCCAACTGAAACCCACACCTTTTTCACCCTTGGTTACAAGGTTCCAGTTAACGACTCTTGGGTCCACGGCACTAAGTAGTTCTAGGAAAAATAATCCATTGGACAAGCTTTTATCCTGAAAAATTAAAATTTCAGATTATACAAACAATGTACAATATAGTTTTTAATATATAGCAGCTGATATCAACGAAAAAAAGCAAAAGTTTAAAACCTTAAAGCTTTCCATTCGAGAAGTTCTCCCTGAACATTGTACTTTCATGTTTGCCCAATTCAAGATATGTGCATCAGTTACATCCCTTCCCCGGCTGCGGGAATGGGATCTCAAACTCTTCAGTAGTTGAAGCATATGATACCTCATCAACTGCCCCAGAAAAGCTGACAAAGATATAGTCACAGTTAAGCATCTAGCCAAATATGTATCATGCAATAGAAGTACAAATTAACACTATCATGGACTATTTCAATAAAACCTCATTGCATCAAGCTAGACAAGGATCAGGAAAAACCTACAGAAATTATAAAGTCCAAAAATCTAGAAACAAAGAAGTAATGAAGAACATTACCAACTATTAGCTTCTTATTTCCTTGTACTATATCATTTCCTTGAACATTAACTAAGGAAAACTTCAGCTGCATCCCAATACTTATAACTTGATTGCAGTTTTCTACTTTTCTGAATGGCATCTTAATTGGAGGCTTTGATGCCTGCATCCAGTTAACAGATCCAGGAGAAACCTTGTCAAGCACTTCAAGAAGTATCCATCTGCATGCATATAAAAACAAATTCGTTACTTCAATCAATTAGGAAAATTTGTTGCTTTCATTCAAATATGTTCAAAATCCTGCATGGTAAACAAACAGATGGAATACAGGAAAATACATGAAAATCAAGGAGAAATTGCTTCTCACAAAAGTGAGGCTGAGAAGAGGAACACTTACCCATTTCTGACATCTTCAAAGACATTATTAACATAACTAGAAATTCCAAGACTGTTGATCCACAGTCGGAAGCATCTCTCATCTCTACAAGTTTGTGCATCGTCACTCATCCTCTCTGCAAAAGAAAGCTTTCTGCTGTCTGTACTCAGGCCATTCCTACAAGAGCATACATATCTTTCCTTTCAATTACAGAATCAAATAACAAGAAGGATATAGAGAGGTCAAAGGCAGAGTTAAGGTTTATGGTTTCTAAACAACCTAAAGTACCAAAACAATCACAGATTCAAGGGGAATGAGACCCTAGTCGGTTGGCCTTCTTAAAAACACTGATCCCTAAGGTTGACATCCAATCTTAGGACTGTACTCTTTATTTCAAAGAAAAGCCTGGAAAACTAAGAACCATAGAAACATGCTGGATATCAGAACAAAATTAGCAAAATCTGAGTTACCAAAAAAAAAAAATCATTTAAAAATTCCCAAAAAATTTAACTTCTTGAAAAGATGCCCATGTAATCTGATAATGGCACATACATTCTTAGACAGAGAGACCAAAGCCTACTCCTCAAACCCCTAAGATAAGTTAGTTTTATTTCTACATTTCATCTGTTGAGCTCCTCCAAAAGGAATCTAGAGAAAAACTCTTAACTAAATTGAAAAGGATTAAAGAATTTGGATAAAAGCAAGATTATTATGATTATTATTATTTTTTTTTCATTTCTAACCTTTGATGAAATATTTGTGCCACAAATGCAAGATTTAGGTTTGATGAGCCCTCAACAATGTCTCTTGGGGACAAATACCGTTTGCAGCCCATTTTCTCAGCATGGTCAAGTACCATGTTTGCCCTTTCAAAAGGATCCTTGGCATCTAAAGTAGATGGGTTGCAATATTCTGGTGCAAGCACATTAAGCAGGTAAGTATAAGCCTTTGCATCCTGCATGTGAATTAGCAAAAGACATCAATAGAAGCAAAAATTAAATAATGATAATAACAATAACAATAATGGCAAACATTTACCAATACAACTGCTGAATAAAAATCTAACACAATGAACATTATACTAGATGTTTTATTAACGGCCATAAAAGAAAGATATACCTTCAAATCTGAGGAAAAATTTGTAACAGTTCTCTCATAGCCTCCCTTTTTCAGATGGAAGTTCATCCATTTTAGTAAGACCTTCTCAGGTGCTAATCCCATAAGGTCCTCAACATCCTGCAGTGTACAAAATTAAAGGTGAAGCAAGCATTCAGAATTTGTAATTCACAACATAGACATTTCATGGAATTATTACAACCAAAACGTCAGCAAAATAATAATAATTTATAAAAAAGAACAGTACAATTAAAAGAGTGTCCTACGCTGTTGTCTTCCACCAATTCCACAAGCTGAGGTGTCTTCTTAAGATTGAGATCTGCTAACAATTGGATCTGCAATTGCCATAGCTAGCATATAAGAGCAATAAAACAAGTAGGGAAACAATCTAAGCATTGATATTCATTAGCTGAAAATTGATATACATTTTTATCAGACTCAAAGATTTTAATTCAAAAGTAAGTACACACATAGCAACATGTTGAAAAGAATTGAAGTGTGCACCTTTATAATCTGGGAGATCAAACTAAATACCAGATGCGGCTGCAATAAAAGAACCAAAAAAGGTTATATTCAGACTGTCATAGCATCAATAAAACTTATCCAAGAGCCTGAATGGCTAAACTTACCCTTCCTTCAACCAAGTCCTGGCAGCCAATGTTTACCACTGTGCAGCCAATAGCCTTTGCCGAGTTCAGGCAGAGTGTATGGTTCTCATTCCTCTCCCATGGGTTAAGAACCCTCTTTGTATTAATAGTGCGTTCATCTATTGTTCCAGGTACAGCAACATTAATAAGCTTACTGAACCAAAAAAATATAGTATTATACAATCAGTATTCCCATCTTTACCAGCTTTAATGTCAAGGAGGAAGACTGAACCAAAGCTAACTCTAATTCAATACCATAATAGTACACCATCTTTTGCAAGATCGAATAGATCATTTGTAGCTGGATCCAAAGGAAGAAACTGCTTTAAGAATGGGTCATCCCCAAGGTAGATGTTTATGTGAGTGACATAAGAGGCCTTTTCCGATTCACTGATTGTGTGAAGAAGTGTAGTAGTTATAGCCTTCAGGAAAGACGAATTCTTTGGACCACCTGCCTTTGCTGTAACGTGCCCTTGCAAGTTCAAATATGCCTGTCCACTCGGTGCAATCAATCAACACGTTAGGTCCCTAAGATCAAATCCAAGTACTTGTAAAGTTAAATCCTATATTTCCTACCAGAATGAAATCCAATCGAATGTAAAGCCCCCCCAAAAAAAAAAGGCAAAATAGAATCTAAAACTCCACTTTTTTGGCTCCATACAAGATTAATTGATTTTTTTTTTCCAAATTACTTCATTAATTGGATATAGAAAGAAAGAACAGAACCAAGAGCATGCACAAGTGTATAGACAATGACTCACCCTTGTAATGGGTTTGGATACCCCTTGTACCTGAGGAATAAAATCTTTTTGCTGACCCAAAAAAAAAAGGGACAATGACTCACCCTGAGGAAGGTTTCAAAATCAATTTCATTGCTCATGTCACCATAAGCCTCACCCAACACCTCCCTAATCTCCTCTTCAGTGAATGTTGTACAAAAAGCCTTCAACTTCACCATCAAAGGTGGCAAGTCTCCAACCTTAACTTTACCATTTTGATTCTTTATTGAACCAAACTAGAGTCCAAAAAGAAAAAGGAAGATGATTAAACTCCATCAAATTACAGCCCAAAAACTACTTTTTGGTATTCTCAAAATGGTTTGTTAATAGAACTGACCAAAAAGATGCCACACATAACAAGAGCTTGCTTACCTTGGACTTAAGGCTGTGAAGTTCAACTTGTGTGAACTGGCTTTGCAACCATTGATCAGAAATAAGAACGCCATTGTAACCCGACATCTCTTTGAATTGCCAATGCCAATAACACTAACTATACTCAGCCAAAATTAACAAATTCCCAAAGGACTCCTCGAGTCCAGAATCCAACAACCAGGAGATGATCAAAAACTGAAATTTTACTTGAAATAGCCTGGCTAGCAACAAATTTCTTAAGCCCAGAATCTGAAAATCAAAACCAAAATAAACACCTCATATTCAGATCCCACAAATACAATACAGTACTAGTGAAATGAATCCGATAAATATGTATATTTTTTAATTGTGTGAATCATCAAAATCCTGGAATTCAATACTCTGTCACTGAAGAACATATATAATCACAATTGACAAGAAGAAAGAACGCACAACAAACCAACATGACACAATTTTCTTCAGAGGATTTCTTTCAATGAATGAGACAATGACACATTAACCAGGATGAGACAATAACTCATTAACCAGAATGAGACCCAACGAGAATCAATCCAAAAGAAACACTAATCAAAGAAACACAAAAAGGACAAGAAAAAGCACATAGGTAAGAACCCCATTTCCCCATGGTCACCATATGAAAAATGGAATGAACCCCATTAAAGAAAACTCATAACAAAAGCAAACTCAGCAACGCATACCTTTAAAAAACAAGATTTTTGAGGTGAACGTCAATGAGTGTTTGACTACCCTTCAAAGGGAGATGCATAAACAAATATATTACAGATACAAGTATGTACAGAATAAGAAGAAAAAAGGGTGGAGATTGGAAAGGAGGATCGGTTTTCCTTCAGGGAAGAGCCAAGTCGGAGAGACGTGTATGTATGCATATAGAAAAGAACGGTTTTTTACCATAAGGAGGAGGAGACCCGCCTTGAAACCCATTCTAGGTACGTGCAAAAGTAAGGTGAAATCGGGGAACTCGCTGTGGCCTGTGGACGTTTGCCACGGAATACGGTTGTTTTAATCTCACCAACTAAAATTCTTAATCTCAAAGGCATGCAAAAGGAAAATTTACTTTTATTAATGACAAATCAACTACCATACTCAGGCCCAAATTATTTTGTTTAACTTCAGCCTTTTTTTTATTATATTTTTCTTTTTGGTTTGAATAGTTATGGTATTGTTGAGCTAGTTTTTGGTATATTTAAATAAATTTTTTTGAATAACTATGAAAACAATTAATTAATTTGATATGTTTAAAGAAATTAATTTTAATTGTTGATTCAAAAATTTAAATGCACTTAACATTTAAAACTTATTCAAATTAAATATATCTTATAATTTATTAGTTTTAATTTATCTACAGAGGATATTATATGGATAATTTTGTTATATAATTTTTATATATTATTAAAACTGTGGATATATTCATAGTCTCAAATGAATAAAAAAATTAATTATTTAAATAATGATAAAATTATACAAAATATAATTAAAAAAATTATTCTAAAATCATTTTCCTTTATCTATCTTTTTACTATTATTTTTTTACTATTAAATTTGTTATGAGTTCGTTGGGCCCAAAAACAAATTGTTTTGTGTCGGTGAGTCGGTTCACGAAATCTAACCAAAAACTGAATGAAAAGTTTGGCCTTAATCAGTAACTTGGGATCAACAGCTAATAACATAACATGTTAGTATCCCTGTGACTTTATGATCTAGACCGTCTAGTCAAGCAACGAGGCATGATACATAAATGCCACATTTTATAGAGAATAATGTCACTTAAAAGCGCTCAAGTGTCATGGATACAATTGCTGGTTTCTCTAAATGCCCTTGTCAATAGTTCAAGATTTGAGGGCAAATACTTTATTGGTGAAGTCAAAATTAAGATGGGATAATAAAGATGCAAGTTGCCCAACAACAACTCACTAGTATTTAAACCGAAAGGTTAAATTTATTGGTAAATTGTAGGTGATATTTAAAATTTAAATTTTGAGATTGATATTTAAAGAAATTAATTTTTTAATAAATTTTTAAGATTTGTTTAAAATTAATCTCAAAGTAAGAAAAAAAAAATCTTTCATATGTCTTATACCAATCTTTCTGCAATATTGGGAAGACAAGTAATTTTTAGACAGTTTTTTCTAAAAGAAAAATTTATTAATTTTATTCCTACTTGAATAATCTGATTTTGATCAAAGTAGATCTTAGATGTTTAAGAGTCTGTTTGGAGGAGTTTCTTATAATTTTTATTTTTTTAATACTATTTATAAGTCATAAGTTTAAATTTTTATTAAAAAAAATTTTTTTAATTATTTTTAAAAATAAAAAAATAATAATAATAATAAATGAGTAAAAAAAATTTATAAAAAGTAAAAGTTAAAATTTTTTTCAAATTTCATTATTTAAAGTTTTTTTAATATTAAAAAGAAATTAAAAAATATAAATTTTTTTTAAAAAAATTTTAACTTATAAAATATAAATAGTATCAAAAACCGCTATAACTTAAATTAGTCTTTAGTCCATAATATCATCTGCACTACTTCCATAGCTTAAATTAGTCTTTAGTCCATAATATCATCTGCACTCTACTGGTTGTCCCTTATCAGGAAAAGTTGGTGTTTTGTAGTTTGCCAAATGAATGCTAATGCTTTTCAGATTCCAAACTGTAAGTTTTAGTTTTCCTTCGGTTTCTCATGACTGTTAACACAGCTTTGATTCACATGACATACCTAAACGTAAGAAAGAATTCCAAGTTGGAGATGAGTAGATGAGTAGCTTCTCAATTCTGAACTGTTTATAAACTCGGGGGGTAAATTGGCTATGTGAACGTGGACGTGGAGGTGGACTGGGATAGATTTTGGGTAGAAAGATGGCGGAGACTGGTGAGAAACTCATGGTGCAGCTGCTGGTAGCGGTGTTGCTCACGGTATTGGTGGCAGAAGCAGAGGCTGTGGTGATGTGTAACATTGAAATGAGTAATATGGAGTTGTGTCGTGCAGCAGTCACAGGAAGGTCGCCTCCTTCACCAACCAGGAAGTGCTGTAGTCTTCTCCGCCAGGCCAACTTTCCGTGTCTGTGCAACCTCAAATCTGTTCTTCCCTCGCTTGGGATTAATCCGAGACATGCTCTGGCATTGCCTAGGAAGTGCAATCTTGTTACGCCACCAGAATGCCGACGTACTGTCTGAAATCGTAGCTCCTCTCTTCTGAACAACAGGAATAAGACGTGACAAGAGTTAAGAGATGGGTCTAGTTCTTGTCCAGTCATTTTTCTTTGTAATTTCTTTCAGAATAACCATGCAAATGATCTAAACTACGTTCTGTTGCTTAAGAAAATTTTACAATACCTTCAGAAGGGATTCTAACAGAGGTTGTTAGAATGACATCTTTCAGGCTTTATGGTTTACCCACATTGCAATCACTTGATTTTGCATTCCATCTCTCCACCCCTACCTCTTCCAAAATATATATATAAAGCACTAAAAAGTAATCAAGCACTATGTACTAGAGCAAGAAGCATCCACATCGGGTTAAGAGAGCGAGAAAAACTGCAACTTGTATTTTAAATGCATGAATTCATTCACTTCACTACGGTAGGGAATATGTACAGAGCCATGTCTACTATAGTCTCTAGCTACCAGCATAGTGTTGTTACAAAGATGCTGGTAATTCAAACAAGATCCCTCCAACTCCACTGGCATACAGCTTCCCACAATGTACTTCTGCTTGATAGAACCATGCTTTAATGCCAACATTACAAGCGTGGTATTATATCAAAAGGCAAAGTTTCAGTGCTAAAGCTAAATTTCAAATCACTAGTGCATCAGCAACATGAATTTAGTGTGAGATTGCCTTACCTAACATTCAGAGGAACCGCTGTGAGGGCCACCAAACATGGGCCTCATGTAGGTGTCATCAAATTTCCTCCAATAGTAATGAATGGTGTACACAGGCCTTTCAATTAACATGGACAAACTGTCCTTTGCACGAAGGATATTGGTTGAGGCAGATTCTTCAAAGGAAAGTAAAGGAAGGGTGATGTCCTCCCTGGGGGATCTTGGTTCCTGTCTGCAGTTGCTCTTGTTTAGTGTGTTGGGAAGAAGTAGATGACTTATAAGGGACTTTGTTAGAAACCCAAAGACCTATATCAAATACAATACTACATATTAACAAAAAGTGGAGAAACAAGGTTGCATATTATCGGACAAATTTTCAACACCAGCGCCCTAACTGTCATTCCTTCAATTCTTGATCTTTAAATAAAAAGGACTTCCAGAACTAAGAGCTACGTACTATTGTAGTAAAGAGAACAACAATTATTGTGCTGGTAATCATTGTGGCATTAATTGGATCCCAATACTATTGTAGTAAAGAGAACAACAATTATTGTGCTGGTAATCATTGTGGCATTAATTGGATCCCAAGTAACACCAGAATATGTGAACTGCACAAGCAAAAAGTAAGTGCTATAG